AATATCCTATAAGCACTTAAAACAAACTTATTTAGTACACTCTACTTTGAGTGACTTTCTGGCCTCGCATTGAGTGATCAACAGTATGAAAAAGTATTTCAGACATGTGTACGTCGAGATGCATTTTTTTTCGAGTTACCTATATATAACCGTTTCTAAATTTTTGATATTCGCTATATTTTCCATATATAGAGTTTGCATGAGTCAAATATATATATATATATATATATATATATATATATATATATATATATATAAAAAATATATATATTGAAATATAAAAAAAAAATATTAAAATCTTCAAACACACTGGTTAATATTCTTTCGTTTTTTTATTGTTATTTCATTTAGATTCCTCGACTAGTTTCGGCCGAAATGGCCATCATCGGAAGAAGAAATATTTCTGCTTCCTGGTAGCAGTAAACTACAGAAATGAATGTCTTGATGGAGAAAATGAACTTTTGTCTGTAGTTTTCATTTGTTTTTTTTATTTTTTTATCTTTTTAACATGAATCTTTTAACATTCCTTGTGTTGGTCAAACAGTCTCTTTTAAGTTGTTATTTGAGATAAGAGCTGGATGGATCTATGCTTCTCTGAATTCCCTTGGTCAGTTTGACAGTTTTATTGGTCCTGGAGAGGGGATGTGTCTCTGTTTAGTGTTTGTGTGTGTGTTATTTGGTTCTTAGGGAGTGAGTGAGTATGATATGTGTAAGCGTGTGTATTGCTGTGGGTGTGTGTTATTATTTGGCTCATTAGGGAGTGAGTGAGTATGATGTGTGTAAGTGTGTATATTCGTGTGGGTGTGTATATAAATGTGAGGCCTCAACACCCCCGTAAGCATGTCTGTCTTGTGTGGGTGAGAAATGTGGGTAGGTTTTGATTTGTAGGGTTATATATTAATACTAACTATATTGTTAAATTTATGTTTTAGCCCGGCTGGATAGTGTGTTTTTAGACGTTGTATTCACTTATTTTCATGGGACTCTAAAATCTTTCTAATGTTATCTGCTCAGAAGTTTTCTATTCTCTCAATTATAGTGAATTTGGCATGGGTTTTGAAATCGTGTTTTTCCAGGCGGAAATGTTGTTTTATTGCTGCTATTTTTTTACTATAAAAATGTATTTTTACACTTTCGTAGCATTTTGACACTCTTTTGGATCCTACCACCCCGTCTCAGAGCTGTGGTTCACGTGTTTGCTCCCATCATATGGTTTAACTCTCAATGAGGCTCCTTACACTGGACGTCTGTTCGGGCTCAAAGTCACATCATATTTCAAGTGAAACTCATATATATAATCAATCGGAAAGCCCGCTGAAAAATATTCGGTTTTCTTGTTCCCCTTCTGTGATGTTATGTCTTTACAAGAGCTAGATCAGCCTAGAAGAACTTGTATTAGTGTCACATCTGGGATGGAGCGGTCAAGTTTTCATTCCAGTTTAAGCGTTATCTATCATACATCTCCTCATAATATGCAACTGCTGTAGCTTCCTGTAGGGACTTAAAACAACCATATTTAGTAACCATCTACCCTGAGTGACTTTCTGGCATTGCTTTGAGTGATCAATAGCATGAAAAAATATTTCAGATAGGTGTACGCAGAGATGATATTTTTCATGTTACCCATGTATAACCGTTTGTACACTCCTGATATTCTCTGTATTTTCAACATAAGGAATTTGCACGAATCAAATCTGATATACATTTTCTTGATGATACTCATATACTTTTTCACGTTGACAAAAAAAAAAAAAAAAACAGACGACATGCGTTGAACGGATGTGAAAATTCGTTGAAAAATGCCCACCTACCCTACCTAAACTTAACATCTTTCTCGAACGTAACTCATAATTGACACAATAATAGTTAATAAAAATGAACACGCTACCGGTCCTATCTAAATAATTGGATTTCTCAGTATCCTTGGAAAAAAATATATATATTTAGTATGTGCGTTTAAATCTCAGTAAATTTAAAAATAAGATTTTCCAAAATTTGCTTGAGGATGAAACAGGATTATTATAACTAAATTTGAAGTTTTTAGCTTCGGGTTTTGAAACATGCTAATTGGTGTGTAGCGACGAAACCATATTTTAAATCAGTTAATTTATAATAGTTATGCTCTACGTTGAGCACTGTTTTGTAAAAATGAAAATATCAATAAGAACACCGGATTATATATATCTTACTGCTCTTTTTTTTTTTTATATATATATATATATATATATATATATATATATATATATATATATAATATTTATTTAAACGTTATTTTTCAGGTATACATATGTAAAAATTGGCTCTGTTTATTTAAATAAACATATATATATATATATATATATATATATATATATATATATATATATATATATATATATATATATATATTTTGCCGGTCTGAATATCCGATATATTTCAGTTATTTCAGAGAAAAATATGCTTGTTCCGCTTGGATTTTAACTTGCGTTCCCTAGGGAAAACCGTCATTAGGTTTGACATAAAATTGAACCAGATTCGACAGACAGCGTCGGCAACCAAGCTGAATATGCCTATAAACACAGATTCTTCTGATATATATATATATATATATATATATATATATATATATATATATATATATATATATATATATATATATATATATATATATAATAAAAAGCAAGCTTGAGTTCAAGAATAATCAGTAAAAAAAGTTCAATTTCACTTTAGATGCCACCTATTTTTCGGCCTTGTGGAAAATCTATATATATATATATATATATATATATATATATGTGTGTGTGTGTGTGTAAAGAAAAACTATCTATGAAACTAGTATATTAGTGATTGTATTACATATATTTTTTTGCACTTTAAGAACTTTTGCTCAAATTGTTTATGATGTTACAGTGACAGAAAAAATAATACCAATTCTTGTGATTGTCAACCTCATTATCACTCCCATGGCCCAGTGTGGGTTTAGGGTCTTTGTGCATCCGAGTTACTTAGAAATCGCCTCAACTTATCAGGGTATTAAGCCAGAAGTTTTATTCATAGGTTGCGGGTCTTAGACAAGTGGGTCTGGTACAGTTCAATCCCCACGCCAGATCAAATCCCAACATACATACTCCAGCATAACGTCTTACCTTGGTCACGGATATACGACTGCTGATTCTGTTTGTTGAAATTAACGCCTTTGCAGGTGATGTCGGTAGAAATCCTTCACCTATCTATGCTGTTTCATTTCCTGTATTGGCCAGAGGTCTTAATTTTTTTTTATCCTACTTTAAAGAAAAGCATTGTAGCGAAACAGTTTTATTCGCCGATTATACGTTTATGTGGCAGGTATTATTGGACTATTTCTTACTAGTAGCGTTCGTAGAATGATCTAATAGAATAATTTATGTCAGATCATCATATTTATGATTGCGTAGTATTTTAAACTGGGCCGCGAATTGTTGAAACTACTCACTGAATACTAGATATTAAATATTATCTTACCGTACAGACGAAAAGCCTTCTGAAGATTGTGAGATGTTGATATGAAGTAAATCCATGGGGTTACAGAGGATTGCGAACAAGAGTAAAGGTGTGTGTTAGGAATGGATACAGAGAAAGACGATGAACAAGCTCACGGTATCAGATGTCAGATGTCGATTGACATTACACTTGAATATTTGAAGATTATAGTCATCGCGGGGGTGGGGCAAGTAAGGGGAAGAGAGTTCCAGAGACAGGAAGTGTGAGAGAAGAAGCTGTTTAAAGATAAGAGACGGTGACATTTAAACGCTTTAACAGTGAAAGGGTGGGACCGAGATGCTAACCTGGTAGCTCGTTTGAATTCCTTCATGTAGTCCGGGAACCAGCGAAAATAGCTCGTCGGAACAGTTGCTGTGAAAATATTTGTAGGAGAGACAGAGAGAGGCCACGGCACTTTTGTGGGATAGCGATTGTAGACTAGAAGCCTGAGCAGGACTTATCATCTTGCATATAATGAAAAGAATGGAAAATGTATAATAGCTTTATATGGAACCTTGGAAGATTCTGTGAGAATGGCATGAGAAGTTGCATGTGGCATCAAATATGGCAGCAGACAGAACATTTTAAAATAATATAAAACAATAAATTTGCATGCTATGCTGGATTTGGGCGCGAATATTTTCTTTCAATATAAACGATTATGTTGAGGTAATTTTAAGTTTTCTGAATAACAAATTGGAAAATCGCGTTTCTTTTTAAGGAAGCTTTTGATTAAGTAGGTTTTGAGCGATATACGTGTATTTTAATTTTCTCAAAATGGTTCTGTGCATTTTAATTAAAAAAAACTCTTCTTAATATTTAAATAATTCTACATGTAAAATTAGTTGTTGAAATTATTTTATGTTGCTGAACAATGGATTGATGACTTTTAAAAAACTATATCCAGTATGTCAACATTTTTTCTAAAAAAATGTTCAATGGATTTTTTGTCTTGTATTGATATACCCAATAACGTATAAATAAATAAAATAGATAAATAGCCATTTAGGTAGATGAAGCTTATTTATTTAAATACACAAATAAAATCAAACATGAAAGATAGAATCTAAAATAGCATGTGCACCTTTTGCATAGTTCCCCGTCACATCGATTAGGGAATCATTATTGAATTGTAGGAGGGAATTATCTTCTAGACTTGTAATCATTCTTGTAAGCCTCTTCAGCATCAAACTTGACAACACTTGAGAATCAGCTTTGATATATTATCATAAGACAGTCGTTTTTTTTTGACAGCTTTCCGCTTGTCTTTTTTTAGTTCCCGCTGCGCATGTGCGGACATAAAACATTGAAAAACTGCCGTGAGTTCATGCAGAAAGTACAAACATAGATTTTGAAAGAAACGCTTTTCTCAAGCTCGTTTAAAAGGTGCAACTGCCACGTCGGGCTTGGCACACATTTTGCGGCAAGGCCGAGCATTTTGTCGGGATCGATGTGATTTTGTTAGTGTTTATTTAAGTAGATTTTCATTGCAAAGAAGCTTACTAAAAGTAATGCTTTAGATCGGCTCGTAAATGCTTGCTTCTCGTTAGGTAAATAAAAAAGAAGGAAATAGAAGTATTTGGAATCTTGAAAATACAGAAATGAAAGTGAAAAAAATGGAGATGCGGTTGAGTGGAAAATTTATGTATAAATAGGTTAAAAGGGGGTAAAGGCAAAAGAAGAAAGACATCCGAAACGAAGGAAAGAGACAAATGAAAGATGTGAGGGTTAAGACGGATACAGAAAAGAGAGATAAAAAAAAAGTATGTTATGTAAGAAAGAAAACGGTTTAAATTTAATAACGAAAGAATAAGACATAAAGCATTTTCAAAAGGGTGCGATAAGAGATGCTCATCAATGAAAGAAAGAAAGAAAGAAAGAAAGAAAGAAAGAATAAAGAAAAAAATTAAATAAAGAAAGAAAGAAGAAAGAAAGAAAGAAAGAAAGAAAGAAAGAGAAAGAAAGAAAGAAAGAAAGAAAGAGAAAGAAATGAAGAAAGAAAGTAAAAACTGTGAAAATGTAAGGAATAAAGGAAAAAATGAAGACATAAAGAAGGAAACAATAAGAAAAGAAAGAAAAAATATAAAATGGATGAAAATAAATAACGGAAAAAAATAAATAAGGTAAAGAGATTACGGCCATATCTCGTTGAAACACCGATTCATATCAAATCAAAAAAGTTAAGCAACGTCGAGCTCTCAGTACCTAAGTGGATGATCGCTTGGAAATAATATGTCTGTAAGCTTGCATGTGTGTATAGTGTAATGGATGGAAGCTGGCAATTGGAAAGCAGAACCGATTTCAAATAATGAAATATTATATATATTATGGGCAAAGACAATTGGGAAAGGTATGAATGCAATTCTTCTCGAGATATGGATTAACTAGTAGGACTTGCATCAGTAATTCTTCATTATCTAAAAAGAATAAATCTTTTTCTATCGAAAAAACATATTCTGGCCTTAAATAAAGTTCAAAGTGTTGATAAGCCGTAATAAACATATCAATCAATCAATTAAATTATGTGAAAGGAAAGAAGAAAAGAAACGAAGAACATAAAGGTACAATGGAAAAAAGCGATCAATTTGGCCAGATATTTATCGATTGTGAAAGAATGAAAAAGTGACTGTAGGAAGGAAGGAAAGAAAGAAAGGAAGAAAGAAAGAAAGAAAGAAAGAAAGAAAGAAAGAAAGAAAGACTCATTAAAAGAAATTGTAATATATTGTTCAAAATTAAAAAAAATATTTGCACTAGATAAAACTGCGGAAAAATCAGATGGAATAAGTTAAGGAAATACAAAGTAAGAACGAAAAGGGGAAGAGAAATAAATGAAGCATAAAGTAGCCTAATGATATATAGATAGATAGGTAGATAGATAGATAGGTAGATAGGTAGATAGATAGATAGATAGATAGATAGATAGATAGATAGATAGGTAGATAGATAGATAGGTAGGTAGATAGATAGGTAGGTAGATAGATAGATAGATAGATAGATAGATAGATAGAGAGAGAGTGTGTGTGAGAAATACGTAGATAGATATGAAGAGAAAAACAGATATATTCTAACATCGCACACAAAAATATAAACTAAAAAACAGTGTTAAAAGAATAGGGAATGAAGGGGATTCAGAAAGAGAGAAAGACGATTTAAAAATAAATGCAAAGAGACGAGAATCATATTGAAAGAAAGAAGGACTGAACGAAAGATTGGATGAAAAAAGAATGAATGAAATAAAGGATTGTAATAAATATCGCCACAATAAAATGAATGCATAAATTTAACTGGAGAGCAAAAAGCCACGAGAAGCTTAAAGGTATAAAACGGAATTGTTACTATAAAATTAAAAATAAGAAAATATGAATGAATGAATGAATGAATAAATGAATGAATGAATGAAAGGTAAGACGTAAGATGAATGCGTAGCATAAAAAGTAGTTTAAACGAGAAGACGCTTGGAAAAAGTAAAACAGAAAGAAAGATAGGAATAAAAACAAAGTAAAAAGATAGATAAAAACATCAAAAGACTAAAAAAAGGGAATGTATGGAAGTACAATTTGAAATAAAGAGATAAAAATCAACCTAAAATTAAAAAAAAAAATACAAGCAGCGAAAGAAAGAATGAAGAAATAAAATAATAAAAAAAGGAGAAAAAAAAAAAAGAAACACAAGATGGAAAGTAATGTAGCCAGGAAACCAATGTCCATCCGATAAGAGAACAGGGTTACTGCCGAAGGACTAATCATGGGCTCTCCAACTGATTTACAGTAGACGTCGCGGAAGAGCAATTATGTACGACCGACAAGCGGACATAATGGGTAGCGTGGTGGGCCAGAGACTTGGAATATATAATGAATATTACGATTCCGGCTGGGCATAGGTCCAAGCTCTGGTCGTGTGAGGTCAGTGGGGCGATTGACTGTCCTTCAATACGATGAAAATTTGCGAGAGAATTACACGGACCCGAGGAACGGAAGCCACTGAATGGTCTCGAATGTTAAGGTCCGGTTTTGATTATAATGGTTGAGCTATTGTTGCTGTAAGGGAAGAAAAAAGGAAGACTACCTCTGGGTAGAGAGTAAAATTGAAGAATCTATGCGGAAAGAAGGCGGTGATAATAAATGAAGTTCAAGATGCCCACGAGTTAAGACACAAGCAATAAAAAAGAAGTTTACGTTGTCTCCAATTTCAGATGATCTTCGCGGATTTAGTATTTTCTTATTTACTTCCATTGAATATTCAACACGAAGAGAGATACACGCATATATTTAGACGATACGAGTATTCACGTAGACGTCATTGTATTTCAACAAGTTAAATCTACGTCTATCGGCCTATAAACTCGAGAGTCTTAGTAAATAGAATCTGGTTAAGGAAAATATATTTAAGTTCAGCATGCTTTGGGGCCACTCTGCAAAGGATGTTCAGTTATGCGATTTAAGAAATGTGCACTTTTTGTTAGGATATCAGTTCATATCTACTAATTTTGCTTTCGTATATGTAACATGTGCAGAGTTATTTGTAAGAAATTAGTAATTTGTATTTATAATCCGACATTATTTTAATTCTTAAATTTCGTGCAAACACATGTTTGAGTAGACATCCTTGTTTTGTAAATCTTCGTATACCATTAATTTAAATATAGTAAATGTGTCTTCCGACAGGCTTCAAACATCTAGGGTAAGCCTGTAATATATATATATATATATATATATATATATATATATATATATATGTGTGTGTGTGTGTGTGTGTGTGAGAGAGAGAGAGAGAGAGAGCATGTGTCTTATTTTCCAAATATATTTTTTTAAACGTTAATTTTTATGGATGCTCTTATTCAAGTAGAAGTTCTGTTTTTTTAATTAAACAGTATTTTTATTCAAATACTACCGGTCTGAATATGCAAGAAAACCTGTGAGAAAAATATGCGTCCCCCGGCAGGATTTGAAACTACATCCATTTTCGGGAGCTCTCAATGGATTTAATGTGTGCAAACGCTTGACCACGTAGGACTTCCGATTAAGCAAAGCCCGAATAGAACCTTTTGAACACACACACACTCTGCCGATTCTCAAACCATCTATATCTGCACTGTATATTATCCTAACGTCAACAAAGACAATTTACTTTAGGAAATGGAGTATATTCGTCATATTTATATTTTTTATTTATTTTGTTTAAACATTATTTTTACCGGAAATGCTCATACGGATGCAGGTTCTAATCCTGCGAGAGAGCGTATATTTTTCTGACAAGAGTTCTTGAATATTCAGGTCGGTAGATGGAGTTGGATAAAAATACAGTTTAATTAAAAACATAGCTTCTACTGGAATATATATATATATATATATATATATATATATATATATATATATATATATATATATATATATATATATAAAAAAAACATAGAAGTCAACACTTAGAGGTGACAGTCTGTTTCATGCTAGATGCAATTGTCAGGCCACCGACTGCAAACTAGCATGAAACAGACTGTCGCCTCTAAGTGTTGACTTCTATGTTCACTTTTATATTTACACAAGCTCTATCTCTGATATTGAACACTATATCCCATAAATATTAATCATCTTAAGACTATATTACTTCATATATATATATATATATATATATATATATATATATATATATACATATAACGTTTAAACAAAATAATTTAAAAGTAACAATATGCCGTATATAATTCATTTCTCTCTCTCTCTGTCGGTGTCCTATCTGATTGGTTAATTAACAAAGATGCCTAGTCAAACAGATGTATGCCCGTCAGCAAGAAACTAATCTCCTACATGACTGCACATGGCCGTTAAATAATATGAATAAGAATAACAAAAAAAAAAAAATGTTGTAACACTGCCCCTCTCTTCTATATCACATGATCTAGCATCAATTCATTTTCACCATTTAAGATCTCTGTAAAAACGTTCTGTTTGGAGAAAGTTTCTCAGGTGAAAATTTTTTACATCAAAATCATTGGGATTTTACTCAGAAAATAATGGAGACGTTCCTGATAATTTGTAATGATTCACTGCCTATAAAGATATACTGTGTAACAAAAGTATTTAACACATTGGTTTTTATAAATTTCAAAATAATGGAAAATAGTTTTAAAATACCCTTTTAACCTATTATTTGTATAGGTGTTAAATAATTTTGCACTGACTCAAATTCGAAAATTGGCAATAAAATCCCATAAAAATAATGTTTCTAAAATTCCCTTTATGTTAAGTTAGACAATGTTCATTAAAATATTTGAAGTATCATTCAAATTAAACAATTTTTAATGTGAAATTTATAAAAAAAAATGTATTAAATATTTTGGCTACCCACTGTATATAACTGAATAAAATATAATTGTAATTTATTTATTGAAGGAAGAAATTTAGTAAACGAACACAGAAATTGATTATGACTCAAACTTATAGGCTAAACAGGAAGAGAAATATATAAGCATTATTATTTTGTTAAGGTTTCCAAGGGTTCAGCGCCTAACTGAAACAGGAACCAGGTATTTATTTCATTGCTTCAGAATATAACGATCTAGGTGATGATAATGGGGAAACGTTTAGAAATTAAATATACTTCCTGTTTATCGATCTCGAGAAAATAAAGATCTATTTTTACTTAAAAAAATGAGAATGCTATAGTGATATAAGACGAATCTGGAATCGTGCCAAAGAAACCTCAGATTTGAAATTGGCTTATAGTATGTGATTCGGTTCAGGAAATACTCAATAAGCTGAAATGAATGTAATGTCAATAAAGAACATTTTTTTTCTGAACGAAGTTGAAATTTTGATGGTGCATTACTGGGTCCTCACTAAGTGTTGTGGATTCCGGGATGAATTCCGGTCTCAAAATGAATGACAAATGCAGGAATGAAATATAGCAAATAAATGTATTGGCGTAATAATGCAATTGGTGATACGGTTAGCAGATCCAGAAATGTGGTTCGTAGCAATAATAATATATAATACAGTCTGGGAAATTCAGTATCGAAGTAGGACTTCCTTCTGAGTCTACGTGCTCGCAACTGTGTCTGCTACAGAAAGCGGTTACCTCACACTCTCACTGTATCACTTCCGACTTCCGGGTATTCACCGGCAGTAGTACAAGTACACACTGGGCGAGTCCACTTGTATAAAAAGAGTAGATCCCTTAACACTAAGAAATATGAAGGTAGATTTTAAACTCAATATCACAGCATGTCGGAGCAACAGAATAGTCAGTTTAGTTAAAAGGATAAAAGTAGCAGACCCAACAATGATAGCAGGTGGTCGATCAAGCTTCACTTGTCCTTTTTTTTTTTTCACATCCTTGTATCTCAAGCAATGCAATGACGCCACAAAGACAGAAAGCGTTACTGAGAGGGAAAGAAAATGATAACACGTTAGTGAGGAGAAAGTACAATAAAAGAAGAGAATTCAGTAAGACAGAAGATGGAGACTGACATTGAGTCCTAGACTTTGAAGATTTTGATGACAGGGAAGCAGCAAATCGTAAGAGAACCAAAGTCGAGAACAGCAAGAAAAGAGACTATTAGAAAAGCACTGACGGAATCATATTATTATTTTGTCATCTTCGATTGTCGTTTGCGATATTAGAATATGCCCGGTATGGCGATAATATACATTTAGAAGCAAGGCCGCTAACCGGTGTTTTTAAAGAATGTGGAAGCAACTCGTCACTGTTGTGGCTCGCAGATCCACCCTGACCCTAGAGATCAATCCTCAAACTTTCGTAATCACCATTATCCTCAAAAGCTCCTGATAAGAGGCCTTGCTGCTGGATATAGTTTATCGTCTTACCCAGGACGCTAAAGAGAGAAGGAGAGAATGAAAACAAATATGCAAACCAAACATACATATAAGAGAAATATATATTGGAAATAAGGAAAGCAGAAAGATTAGAAAACCAATGAGGTATTAGTAATGGCATTGGTGAGTATAGCCATTTTCATTCCGGAAGTACTCAGCATTATACGAACAATTAGCCTTATACATGAAATATATAATATGTTTCTCTTGCAAAATACTTTCCAGGAAAATAGTCCATTGCCATCGTTCTTTCTTGTATCGATGGTTGGAAATAAGAAATATAAATTCTAAATTAGAGAGACGCAGGTTTTGACAAAAATAAAAAAAGGCGCACTGGAACATCAAGGTTGTGGAAATATTTTTTTAATTGATAATAATGTTACTAAACAAACTAAAACTAATGATATCAAAAACAACGTATGCTGTGATAAAATAAAAAAAGTAAAGTAATAATACTACTAATACTATTATATCTAATATATCTATATATATATATATATATATATATATATATATATATATATATATATATATCTCAACCTATCTATCTATATATTTATATATACTAGCAGTAGAGCCCGGCGTTGCCTGTGGATTTAACAGTTAGAGATAGATCAAGTATCGACCATCATAAAGACTGAAAAATAAAATTGACAAAGATTATTGTTTAAGGTTGACGGACACGCATGTCTTAATTAGATTTTTTTTTTACGAATTGGTAAAACCCAAACTCAAACAAAAACATTGTTTTCAATCGTTATGAGTCTACCGATTGAATAGAATTTTATTATAAACAATTGTCTTGTAAATGGAATTTTTAAAGCATTCTGAATGTAAAAAATAAAGAAAAAATTGTGCAAGACAATAAGAAACACTACCTGCCAAAAAAATGAAGTTTTGTTGAAATCGGTTGAAAAATGTAGGAAATCTGATCCCATATATAAACGTACACACACACACACACACGCACACACACAAGCACACACACACACACGCACACACACAAACAAACAACCTGGGTTTTATAATAAGTATAGCTCGATATGAGTTGTCCCCTTTCATTCTCGTGATGCCTCTTAATCGTATTTTCAAATTGATTTTGTGCAAAAACAATTGTGTTTTTCAAATTTTTGGCGATGTCAGAACCACCGCAATGTCATTTTACGTAATTCTGTGAAGTTTTGTTGAAATCGGTTGAAAAATGTCGGAAATCCGATCCAATATATAAACGTACAGACACACACACACAACCTGGGTTTTATAATAAGTATGATATATATATATATATATATATATATATATATATATATATATATATATATATGAAAATGTTTAAACAGCATAAGAAAAATTCAAAAATTCAAAAAAAATAGTAAAATGAAAATAAGTACTTTATATAAGAACATATAAATATGTAAAACAAAAAATACAAGTTAAAAAGTTTAAATGAAATGTAATTGGTTTTGAATTTCTGCCCAGATTAACATTTTAGAATGACAGTAAGATTGAAAAATAAGAAAAAAATAAATTATAGTTTAGAGAGACGCTGGTTTAGCAACTAGAAGTGGTGTTATAAAAAAAAGGGAACTCAATTTTTTTCCGGAAATCAATAGCGTAATTAATAATATTAATATTAATGTTTTTAATATTAATATTTCTAAAATACTAAATGTAGTGATAAAATACCAAAAGTAGTAATATCAGTAATAATAAAATATCCTTTGATAATGTAAGATTAAAGTAAAAGTAAAGTTGAAAGAAAGAGACAAGAATCGGGATAATGGAAAAAAAAAATGCTAAATGCGTTATAGTTTAATATAAACAATAGATGTACAGTAAAGGTAGCCAGATTGAAAAGTGAAAGATATAAAAATATTAATATCAATACCAGTAAATATAAACGCCTGAAATTGCTAGACTTTATTAATCTGGGTCAATGTGCTTGAGTAGGAATTTAGATCTAGGTAGGCAGGTGATAATCAACTAATTTCTTTTGATTAAGAAGTTAGGACTTTTTATATTTTACATGATTATTAATTTTTGAGAGTCATAAGTTACATTTATTTATTTTCCCGCTGAATGCCATAGCTTTCGCTACGTATTCCCATTCGGTTACACACATACATACATACATATATATATATATATATATATATATATATATATATGCATGTATAAGAATAAATATAAATAAATAAATTAAAAAAAAATACCTCCCTTAAACTGAATGTTAAATCTACAGCGCTGCATATCGCAGTAAATTGAATAGATGAAATGTTTTGAATTTGCAGAAATACATATGGTCTCAGATGAGATTGAAAGGACTCTGGAAAATAAAATCTCTCTGAAAGAAAATGTTGGTATTTTTGCTAATCAATTTTCTAAAGATACAAAGAAATTAATCCGTTAACTCATAATGATCAGAACCTAAATAAATCGACATATGTTTAAAATATTTAAAATATATATATATATATATATATATATATATATTTCAAATATCATAAGAGACCAAAGTGTTGAAACAAAATGGCTGTTTTGTTTGCATATATATATATATATATATATATATATATATATATATATATATATATATATATATATATATATATATATATATATATATATATATATATATATATATTTGTGTGTGTGGTCTATATGTGTGCAGGCTGCGAAATCATATATTACAAAGTCTCCGCTGCCAATTATATGAGTGAAAAGCCATTAGACTGCGCATCTTCAAGCACTGGAATAATTACAACAGCTCAATTCTAATAACGCTAAAATAATTATAAATCTAATTGTAAAAAGAACTAGATATTTTCTTACCTCTTTTGCATACAACAATTGCAATCATATGTAAATAAACAGAACTAAAACCGTGTGTCATTAAATCCACAGAAAACCTTCCAAGTGCGTTAATTCGCGTTGGTCTCACTTTACTAAGCTGCTTACGAATTAGTTTATCAAATATTAACAGCACATCTTAATAGACAATACCTTTACTGTCACAGCTAAAGGATTAGGAATATGGTGCGTGGAAAGGTTATCACTACAGGAGATTGATGGTAGCCTATTTATCCACTCATATTCGCGAAAGTGTCACTAAATATATACGACAGAAAATGACGAGAGATTATTTTAAGTGTACAATTACTGCCTAAATATTAAGAATATGCCAATTTCTTTCTTTCTTTCTTTCTTTCTTTCTTTCTTTCTTTCCTTCTTTCTTCCTTCCTTCCTTTCTTTCTTTCCTTCTTTCTTTCTACCTTGCTCAGTCTATATCACTCCTTAACTGAACATGTTAAACTTTGACTCATCGCTGAAATGAACACAATCCCACTGTTCTTCTGTCCATATAACGTGTTCAGTGGCAAATTTCAATCGGCTCATTGGATTCTTTTTAGAAATGTAAGGCTTCGAAGAGGCTACTGGACTGTTCAGATTTATTTCATTACGTCTTCGGGAAATAGTGTTCCTTGATATTTTCATGCCAAAGTTAGCATTAGCCCTTTTAGAGATAGCGGTTGCTTTCGCAAACCGATCCTTTTTTGATTCATTACCAATGCATCTGTCTTGCCGTGCAGTAGTTTTTCTAGGCCTGCCAGGTGGTTTCTTGGCTTCACATGACCCAGTTTCCTCAAGTTTTCTTAAAATACTATGAATAACACGTTTAGATTTCTTCACACTTGAAATATTCCCAATCAGGAGTTTACCTTCATTACGTAATTTGACTATAAGTTTTCTAAGTTCCAATGACGTCACAGATTCTTTCACCATGTTTCAATGCAAGAGCTGTAAAGAACCGGTGTAATTTAGTAAAATAACAGATTTTATATTCTTACCCTAAAAGGATTTCAATAATGCAAAATAATTATTAAATTTTATGGATTTATTTAATCGTTGTGATGTTTTTGAACATCTATTTTTTTTTCGAATGTTAAACATTTATTCTTATACTTTTATCAAAATAAATTTATTGAGCTTTATATTTTAGAATTATATAATTTACCTTTATATCCTTATTTTTCCGTGCTAAAATGTTCTTTGAAGTTTTAAAATAAAAAGATATTTATATTTAAACTTTTTCTTAACATCGTTTTGAATTCTCATCATAACAACAAAATAAAATATCTAAATCTACTTAAGTACTTTCAAAATATGCAGCCGGAAGTGGAAAATTACATTGAAAACAAACTCTTAATAGATTACAATGTCAAGCTCTATATAAATAGTTTCTCACCCTATTTTCTCCTTTTCAAAAAGAAGTCATCACGTATCATAATTAGTTACCTCCGCTAGAACGTGAACATACACCGCTTGGCACAAAAATTAGTGCTGTTCACGCAACACGTAAAATTATAACATTCACCTGAACATAGCAACTTTGTTTTTGGAAATAAGGAACACTACGTTTTTGTCTAAAAATATAAAACACGCCCTGAAGATGACATTGTATTAATGTCAAAAGCACTCGGAATAAAACGATATGTATCAAATCCGCAGTTTTCTCTCTTCTTTTAATACTGCCACTAAAAAGCTCATCCGAAAATATGAACGGATTCTATTGAAAATAAGCAGACAAAACGTGTTTAAATCATACAATGAAACCTGCCTCAATAAAAACATGATGCCAAAATAAACGCGATATATATAAACACACACACACACACATATAAATGGAAGGTTTTGCACTGGCAATGAAGATGACATTTAATCAAGAATAACGTTTGTCTTCAAATGCACATACAGACCGTGTTAACTTTAATTCCACTTTATTTTCCCACACTTTCATGTCCATTTTTGTTATGACGTTTCATATTGTAAACAAGACTTGCTCTGGAGAGTAGACTGCAAACTGATCAGATGTGTCTTGGAGCAAATTCTGTTTCAGAATTATTCCTAATGTTTTATGTCCCTCCTCCAAGAAAGACTGAAAATACCTCGTGAATAAGACGCCGCCTTATTTGGAAATAACTGAAATAATTTTATTCTAGTAACCTAATGCTATTCAATATCTAGTTTTATGTCCATTTCTTGGCCCATCAGTTGGGCTCTTACCAGAGATCAGCTCCCAATATAATATCTATTTTGTAGTCCATTCCCATGTATTAGTACCACACGCCCAGATTTGTCCAACCTTGTCCAGCCCAGCCATGCCGAGACTAGCCTAGCCCTGTCTAGCCCTGCCCAGCAAAATTAGTTTTTATTATGATTGTCCATCCGGATAAGGCCAAACAACTGGTTTCTGGCGTGAATAAGTTCTGTTTGATATTGTGTATCGTGCGAAAGCATTTCACATCGATACGATTAAGAGCATTAATATGTCATAGATACCTTGTTCCTGTTTCCAATAAGAAATACAGTGTTTTTGGTATTTATGCTCCGGATAGATTGTAAAGACCAAACTCGTCTTTATAAATTACCAAAAAGTACGTAAGCTTTAGTCCAAACAACTGACCAAAGATCCATCTCTTTATACATGAAAGTGCTGTCTATTGACACAAATATTTGGTTCTACGTATGATGTGGTTAGTGATAAATAACGATTGTTTTATTACCAGACTAAAAACATCACATGCCTCAGAAAATATATCATTCTTTAACTGTACTACTAACTGAACTGTATCAGTATAAAAGTGATCTCTAATATATATATATATATATATAAATATATATATATATATATATATATATATATATATATATATATATATACGTTATTTATATAAATACAAATATTAATAATTAATATATATATATATATATATATATGGTATAGGAGAAGGGCAACTCTGAATTCCAAACCTGCGGAGGGTCGTTTGGGGACCTTGGGGCACGTAGTGCACCAGGTCTCTGAATTCGGCCCTTCAAAAAGTGTGGCTGGTCTTGCACGAAACATTCACCACTATAATCAAATCTCATGTTCTGTTGTCGAGCTGTCGGTTTCCTGGGAACTGATCTGCTTGACCCTCATACGTCAAATTCGACGGGAGAGTCGATTATATATATATACATATATATATATATATATATATATATATAAGCACAACAAAGGTAGGTATATGTGTATTTATTAATATATATATATTTCTTAGCTCTGTCTACGCCTCTTGTCAAAATTTGGTAGTTATTTATTTGCTTACAAACGTAAGCACGCCACGTGCGTATATGGTCACTAATATCTCATTTGTCCAACCCTCTCTTTCTCCTCTCTCTCTCTCTCTCTATATATATATATATATATATATATATATATATATATATATAAGTAATCATAGACATATAATCTGAAGTAATCCTTGTTAAATTCAATTTATATGATTGTATTATTAACTCCGTATGTTTGCCAATATTGAAATTCGCCATATGCAATTGTATAACGCACAGTAGTTAAAGGAAGTAAAACTTGACAGCTAAAGCCGAAAGCGCATTGATGTAGAGTAAGATGCCTTCAAAAGTTAAACGACGTAATAGGAATCAGAACAAATTCCTTTCAAAACCAAAACATGTACTGAACTGTTACGTAATATTGTTTCACCTATATGGCAAATACAGCTGAGGCAAACTCATGAAAGATTGAGACGAAACTTGAGACATCAGACATGTGGGACTAAACAAAGACGCTGATGACACCATAGACTTAACATGCGCTCGATATCGAAGCCTGGGAATAGAAAAAAAAGTAAACGCATACTTATCATCATAAAGACAGTTGTAATTTCTAGGCTATATAAAGAGGAAAGTAGAAAAAATGGCCAAGCTATATACAGAATATGCTGCTCGAAACGTAGTTGAGAATATACCAGAAACAACTTTGAAATTATGTCAAAGTGAACGGTTTCACGAAAACTGCTTCATACAATAGATGGCGCAAGCAATGTTGAGGGCTTCAAAGAAAGTACTGACTTCAGAAGCGGGACCATCGAGCGGGTGTACACTGTGCAGCCCAGTCTGCATCTGCTGCAGACGACAGTGTCAGTTAACACCTCCAAAACAAGTCACCGCGTTTAAGGTATGCTTTTTAATGGTATCCAAGTGGACATCGTCTGTATGACCTCGTTCATAAACCTGCGAAGCGATAATGGAGAAGTCCGTATGAGGCTGAGCCAAACATGGACTACTGGAGGACAATGCCCATTGGAACCACACAATGGGGTTGGCAGCAGTTAGCAGAGCACCAAGTCTACAGCGCCAGCTATTTTCTATAATGTGGGTGAGACTTTCAATCTTTGGGTAACCCACAAAACCAGCATCGCAGGGGACATCATACGCAGGACCCAGAGGCAAACCTCAGTGAAAATTGACACATTCAATGACGCCATCTGCAGTGAGGTATTAGTTGAACTGGATACCAGAGTGCAAGCTATGCGAGGCCAAAGAATTGCAACATTTGGTCTATCTCAACCTAAGCAGGCAACAAACAAACTCGCAATTGATTACATGTGGTAGACCAGCTATTATACTAAGGAAATTACGGCGTATATAGCAGATAACTAACACAAACTGATGGAGGACCAACAGGGTGTTTATAACATGATTATCTCAAGAATTAAAGGTGGCAGAGGAGATCTATTCAACCTCAACAATATAGATGGAACTGGCAAATTGTAAATCTCATTTGACGTTAGACCCCCTAAGCCCTATATTGTCTGTGAATGCACAAAAGCCAATTTCAGGGCTACTTATTGTGAATGTTTAGTTTCGGATAACCGATTTGCCTGATAATACTTAAATTGCTTTACGATATTAATAACTTACTCGTATTTTCTCCCCAAAATTTAAGGACGGCGGTTGGGTATTCTCTTTAAACGCACAAATGACCTTTTCAGTGATAATTACTTCGGATAATCGAAGAAAGGATATGAGAACACGAACTGGGGATAACATCCGCTTTCCCGGGTATTACTGGGTACGTCAACTAGGATACTCACTCTCCCGACGAACACTAATATTCTCGATCTTACTCTCTCTTTCTGTCTCTTAATCTGTCTCTCTCTATATATATATATATATATACAGACAGACATATATGTGTGTGGAGGTGGTCCATGTGCGTTCATGTGTGAATATATATATATATATATATATATATATATATATATATATATATTAACAAATATACAATAATAAATATTAATAATTAATATATATATATATATATATATATATATATATAGGTCTAGGAGAAGGACAACTCTGAATTCAAAACCTGCGGACAGTCGTATTTATTTAATTCCATATATATATATATATATATATATATATATATATATATATTGAATTAAATAAATATTTAAATATTACGAGTCATCATTCCATTAGGTTATTTCATTTCATGAGTATATAGTATTCTCTGATTGGTTTATTTAGACGACAAAATATATTGGTTCTATCTATAAATATATATATATATATATATATATATATATATATATATATATATATATATATATATATTTCATTTCCTTACATAAATATCTTTTCAGATTGTTCACTTTTATCTCAATATGATCTCCGTGTCTATCAATGTATCTATTTCGGAATGCTCATATTATTGCATCCTGCTATATCAGTCTATCACAGATTTTTAATCTTTATCTAATTCTGATCTATACAAGTCTGTTCGTATCTATCTATCTATCTATCTATCTATCTATCTATCTATCTATCTCAGTCTGTTCATATCTATCTCAGACTTTTCATCTTTAACTCATCATGTTCTATCTATCTATCTATCTATCTATCTATCTATCTATCTATCTATCTATCTATCTATCTCAGTCTGTTCATATCTCAGACTTTTCATCTTTAACTCATCATGTTCTATCTATCTATCTATCTATCTCAGTCTGTTCATATCTCAGACTTTTCATCTTTAACTCATCATGATCTATCTATCTATCTATCTATCTATCTATCTATCTATCTATCTAATCCGTGGAGAAAAATTCCAGCCCCTATAAACCTATCACTAACATTCTATAATTACCAAAATTAAATAACATATTGGGACGGTGAATACTAATATTTATCTCTTTTTTTAAAAATCAGCTTAACTCGTTTTTCTTTCATTTACTATACAGTAGAATGCGATTGATTTATTTCCACATTGTTTAACACTATACTAAACTAAATCATGTGTTTACAGTATTTCCACAAAATAAGCAGAAGCATATTAACGGAATCGAAAACAGGATGAAAATTTTTCACATTAAAACGAAGGCAAAAAGTACATTATAGCAGCTTCCGTCTCTTTGATTCGAAAGAGAAAAATTCATTAGCTTTGCATTTCATCCGGTGTATTTTCTAAGTTGATTCCCGTAATCCTTTGAAAACTTACAAATGAGTTAAAGCCCTGGGCTATGTTTTTGTAGACAGCATGTAAATGAAACATTTCTTATGAGCTAACTTGACGGAAACCCAAATTAAAAAAAGTCAGATTTTATTTTATAAGTACGTTTTCTATTTGGGCTGTTGATGGTGTCACGAAATTACCACGGTTAAATAACTTCTTTCTTAGTAGTTTGACTTTCTTTTTTTCTTTTCTTTTTGCCTTCTAAAGAAACCTTGCTGCAGGCCAACTGTAAATTCTTACTCAGAAATAAATTTGGTGTGTAAATAAAGATATTTAAGTTTCCACGAACATAATTTGAAAACTTTTAATGATATTTCCTTTATTTAACAAAAAAACAAAAAACAAAAAAAAACAAAAAAACAAATAGCATAGGCATAAATAAAATAAAATTATATGCAATGTATATATTTTCAGCTCGGCATGGTTTTCATAAGGCAATCGATCTCAGTTCCTGTAATTTCGAAGTGATTCTTATTTTTTGGAATTTATTTTCCATTTTATGTTAGGAATATTTTCAAATAGAACACACACCATACATTTCTTTCACTTTATCTATCCATCTATAAATCTGTTACACCTTAAAATCCCGGAAAACTGCAGTCTTTAAATATTTAAATGCAACGTCAATCGTCATCTTCTGTCTCCTTGAATCCCGTTCAGCACTTATCCTTTCATCAATCTCCCTACAACCGTACAAGTAGAATTCACACCTTTCTTGAGTTGAACCGATTAATTATATATATATATATATATATATATATATGTGTGTGTGTGTGTGTGTGTGTGTGTGTGTGTGTGAGCCAAAATTCGTCAGCCAAAAGGACACGGAGACTCTTTTGAATTTTATCGAAACTGAAAAGGGAGGATTGGTCAGTTCTCGCCAAAATATCGCAAAAGTACACCAATTTATAACTACGTTTTAAAAATGTTGCCTTTCTATCATCTTGAAAGTGACTGGCCATTATCCTTCGATCTCTTTCAACAATAGAAGGTTTGAGCTCAAAGAATTCCATTCATTGGATTCTTTCTTTTTCTGTAAACGATGAAGATGCTTGTGCAGGAAAATCCTAATAGATTTAAAAAAAAATCTGTTAAATATTCAGAGCCTCACATACGGCACCAATGACTATCCAAAGTTCAGAGTACTTAAATGACGTTTCGTTTGCATGAAATGCAATTCTTCTTTTCGCCATGTCTATATTGAAATGCTAATATACATTAACGTGCCATATAATTGAGAAATTTGAATGAACACCCATTTGTGCAGATGTACTTAAATGTCTAGTGAGAACTTTTATATATATATATATATATATATATATATATATATATATATATATATATATATGTGTGTGTGTGTGTGTGTGCGTGTGTGTGTGCACGCGCGTGATTATGCATTTAGGCAGCAATCACTCTTTCATATATACTTCGTTAAAGACGAAGGTTTTGTTATTAAACATTTTATTTAATGCTTCTTGCGTCCGTACAAGTGTTTTCTTTTCCGGTGTGTAAAAACTCTCCAAAAGTTCTGCATATCCGAGCGCTTTTGGCTATTATTTATTTTTAACTAATTACGTGGGTTCTTTTTATGTATGTGTTATGTTATAGGAATGTATGATTTTCCGAACACTGCCATCACACTGTGGCCGCGTTCATAGTTAGTGTTATTGAGTGTTGGCTCTTCTTTTAATATTATTCGGGCTTTCATTATTTTTAATATATTTTTATGAGGGTTTTATTCTTTTATTTTCAACTAGTATATTTTGGATGGAGACTGGCAGCTTTTATGTGTGTTTAAATGAGTCCAAATGGAGCTATAATCGGGTAGGTGTAATATATATTGGTTAAATAGGCGTGTAGCAGTGTAACCTATGTAATTATTTATGAGTTTGGTTTACTTAAGAGGCATTTGAACTCATTAATAATGTTGGTTCTTTATTGTTTCGATTTTGTAAATGTGTTCTAATTATTGATGATAAGGTTTGCTCTTTTAAATTTTTTTGCAATAGATAATTAATTCAATTTTCTTGTTAGGTCGACTAGGGTTGTTTATTTCTTTATGATATATCTACGAGAAAATTTGTCTTGCTTAAAGTTGCCACGTATTTGGTTTTTGTAGAAGATCTTAGTGTATTTGCCTGTGTTTTCAGTATCGTTATTAACTTTATAATGAAATAGTCTAATCTGGTTGTCGATGAGATAGTTAGAAAAACCTTTGTTAACTAGTGTCAATGTTGCATTATTGAGTTTTTTAAGGAAAAATGGACGAGAGGATGAATTCTCGCGTGCTGTCTTTAGGAATGTTTTTATAACAGCTGTTTCATATTTAAGCGGGCATTAACTCTTAATATTAATGTAGCAAGTGTTTCTGCTAGTGTTTTTTTTTATATAATGATGTGGTAAAAGTGTTATTACTGTATTCTGCGAGAACGTCTAAGAATAGGAGTTTGGTTCTGGTTAGAGTGTAAAATTAAGGAAAGCTTTTTTTTCTCGGATGTGGGTTTGAGATTATCAATTTCTTGTTTGTTTTTCGCTAAAATAAAAATATCGTCTACTCAGTAGAGACATATTTCGGGTCTCGTAACTTGTAGTTTTTTTTTTTTTTTTACGTAGATCATGCAGTAATTCGAGAAACACGGACCGAGAATATTTCCCATACTAACCCCATTAGTTTGGAATTATCATCGTAGAAATTAACTTTGGTTGTGCAGGCATGTAATAATTCTTTGTGGATATTTGGTTTGACGGATGGAAGAGAGATAGGATTATTTTATACAAGGAGTTATGTATTATGTCAATAGTTTGATCAACGGAGACATTAGTAAATAAATCTTCAAAGTCGAGTGATGCTAAAATAACATTTGGACATTTTTTGCACACCTCTATGAACACATGGAATATTAAATAAAAACCCTAATCGCAGAACCTTGTCAATGTAAAGATGGTGAAGGCATGAGGTCTGAAATTAAAAATAGTCTTGTAGGAATGTCTGGAGTAAGCAATTATATATCAGATCAACGCTAAATAGAAAAAATAAGGTCAGAAGGTGGATCTGGGTGTGATATTTTTTCTTCATATCGTGATAAACCGATATATAAACATGGCAATATTGACGGTTGTGGATAATCTGACAGCGACAATCCATAATCGTCAATAACGCCCCACTTTAAGAAAAGTTAAACGGATTTGTTATTAAATTAAATCATTTTACAACCAGTTACCTACCATCGCCTGATGAAGTACAGTCATAGTACTGAAACATGAAAGATTTCGTGTAGCGATTTAAAATGTTTTAAAAATGTTTATATATATATATATATATATATATATATATATATATATATATATATATATATATATATAGTTTAAAAATCAGGAGGTCAATTAAAATACGACCAGGATTTCGACCTGGCGGTCTCATCGGCTATACTTTTAAAATGACCACCTTAACGCTTAAAAATAAAAAAAACAAAGAACGCTACATAATCATCTTTTAAAAATAACAAGCGTATGGTGACTGAATGACAGGACATTGGGTGTAATGGGAAGGGAAGTGGGAAAAGAGGTGAATAAAAGAATGAAAAGTGTCAAGAATGCAAGGGTATTGTAAATGTATACTGTACACACACACACATATATATATATATATATATATATATATATATATATATATATATATATATATATATATATATATGAAGAAAAATATATGCGGAAAAAACAAACAAAAATGCTTATATACAATTTTGCTGTTTTGGTGTTGATATGTCAATAAACCATCTTCAGGACATATTCATAAATTATAACATTATCAATACAACATGACAAAAGACGATGTACACAAGAAGATTATTGGACCGAAACGTCCGACGTTGACATATCAACATTAAGACAGCATAATTGTATATAAGGATTTTGTTTGTTTTTTCCGATTATATTTTTCTTCATACTGTCGGATCTATATCCATATATTTGCTTATATATATATATATATATATATATATATATATATATATATATATATATATATATATTCAGGCAACGAAATAGCACTTAGAAGTAAGTTCGATATTCATTTTATGTTAATATAAATTACGACATTAAGCAAACAAGTTTTGTTATATAGTAAATCAACCAATCAAATATAATGACCATTCATATTTTATTGATATTATGCTTTAAATTAATATATCATTTCTACGTGGAAGAAGACGTTGATAGGTAAGTGTTGCAGAATATTTGCACTTTAGAGTATTGGAGAGTCAATGAGAATCTTTTATTATGGTAATTTTTTTCCACCATATGTAGAATATCCATTAGCCGATATTTTATGAAGCAAAAGAAGAGGGTTTTAATTTGCCAGGCCATGACTTGTAAATTCAATATATTTCTTACTACGTGGCCTATATTAATTGTCTTGTGTCATACATGCATATATTCTGGGCAATCTTTTTAAAGATGAAGAGAGACCAATAGCCAGCAGAAATGTGCTTCTACAGAAGGATGGGGAGAATACTATGGACAGAGCGCGTAACGCAACGAGGACGTCTTAAAGGAAATGGAGGCAAAAAACACACTTTGATTCAGGAAAAAAAGCTGAAATTTCTTAGGCAGAGAATGAGGAAGGCAGGATTAAGACAACTCACAGATAACTATAAAGGCAGGCAGGACGGGTGGGTATTTGAGGGCAACTAATATTGTTTGAATGAGTTTGGGAATGAAGTTACTACTGTAAGTGCTAGGAAGTGTAGAGAGCCATGAAGGGACACGGTTCACAGAAGATCGTAGAATAGTGACACGGAAATCTGGGGATCATTATGGAAGACCAGAGTCACACGCGCCCGTAATTTGTAACCTTCTGCCGTGCATAACAGGGTTTACCAAATAGCAAGCCAGCTCTTTTTTATGTCACGAATAACACAAATTTTGCAAAAGGGTTAAATTAATGGGATTTAATTTTGCAATTGAGAAGCTTTTTCTTTCATTTCAGTCTTCACTCCCAAGCCGAATTAAGCAAGCGAAGAATGTTGAAAACATGAATATTAATCGTTCGCAATTATAAATCAATAACATTAAAGAGAGAGACAGCAAATATTTTCTCCATAAAGGCTTTAATTAATTCTTAATTTTGTTCACTTAATTCAATCTTGTTTTAAATTTTCTGGCATTCTTATTTATTTATTAGTTTATATTTTTAAAGGAATC